GCATGTCACCATATTCTAATTTGTTGAGATAGTGAATTGGTGGGTTTTTGTTAAATGTGAGCCAAAATCATCACAATTAAAAGAACCAAAGACTTAAACTACTTCAGTCTGTGTGCATTAAATTGATTTAATACACTAGAACTTTTCCACGACATTCTAATTTATTGAGATGCACCTGTACATTTTGCATGTTCAGAAGAAGTGAACTGCCCTGTACTGCGAATAATGTAAACAGGCTTGTGTAAGTAAATTAATTGCTCCGTGCAAAGAAAGAGAAGTAATGGGAACCTGGTATTTCTATGTTCTTTTTTCATGTGTCTTGAATGTGTCTCGTTCACAACTTGAATGAGTTGTGTTCAACCAAGTTTCTGCCTTTCTCACACAGAGCAACCTCCTGGACAGCAACCAATCTGGCTTCAGAAGTGGACATTCGACCGAGACTGCCTTGCTCTCAGTTGTTGAAGCCCTAAGACTGGCAAGAGCGGCTTCCAAATTGTGTGTGTGTGTGTGTGTATATCTATATCTATATATATACACCTTGCTACGTGTACTGCTTTAGGCTAACCGAGCCTTGTCATTTGCACTTACATGCACTTATGTTTTGATTGCTTCTATTGTCCTCATTTGTAAGTCTCTTTGGAAAAAAGCGTCAGCTAAATGACTAAATGTAAATGTAATGTGTCTAATAGACATGAACAAGTTATTTGAAAAACATCTATGATCTTTGAACATGTCTAGTCTACATGCTCTATGGTATGGTTTCACTAATAATAAACGTACATTTGCATAAAGCATCCATATTTGTCCATGCCCATGTTGATTAGAGTTTGAAAAACTTGAAGAGTATTAATTTAAGGTACATTTAGAACAGATAAAATGTGCAATTAATCACAAGTTAACTCATGACGATCATGCGATTAATCGCGATTAAATATTTTAAACAATTGACAGCCCTAATATATATACACACACACACACACACACAGTATATATTTATACTACATAAAACATTTTTTCAGTTTTTTTTTTGAGTAATTTTTTTTATTTCCACATAACGTTAATTATTAAAAAGCTTTAATTAGCTTTTTATTTTTATTTCAGTTTTAGTAATTTTAGCAATTCATTTTTATACTTCAAATTTATGTAAATATGCTGTTTAAAAAAAACAAACAAACAAAAACAAACCATAATATAGTTGTACTTCGCATAAAGTCTTGATTTTTGTGCTGTGTCCAGCAGACGTGACTCACCAGCGCAGGATACCATGTGGTTTTCTTTTTGTCACTAGTGACGACTCCATCCACACACACCACTTTGCCATAAAGCTCTTCGTTTTGTTGCTGATCGCCCTCCTCTTCCTCACTAGACGATGAAGATGACTCCTCTTCTTGACTGTGGAACAAGATTATGTGTTAATGTGTAATAAACAACAGATTGAAAGGTGCTTGAGTTACATTAATATCCCGGATAACACAAGAACATATTTAAAATTCAGAGTGAAATATCGCTGCTGATCAACAAAGCAGAATCTGTTTTTTTAAAAAGCAGCAATAATAAAACCTCATTTTAGATTTATGCGATTAAAAAGGGTTAGGACTCATGAAATCATGTTCAAATCACTGTTCAAAGATTGTGAGCCTGTCGCCGATATATATCTGTATCGGCGAATATGCCGCCGATATGAAATTTTTTTTTACAGAACATATAACGCTGATAAAATTACTTAGTTTGTCCAGCAGAGCGCACTCCATTGTTTGCTACTGGCGACCTGGATGAAACACTTTAAAGCTTAAGTCTATGGAAAACCATTGAAACTTTGAACGGCCATATCTCCGTAACGGCGCGGC